CTGCAGCTCGGCTGCAGCTCGGCTGCAGCTCGGCTGCAGCTCGGCCACATCTCGGCTGCAGCTGCAGCTCGGCTAGATCTCGGCTAGATCTCGGCTAGATCTCGGCCGCATCTCGGCTAGAGCTCGGCCACCTCTCGGCCACCTCTCGGCTAGATCTCGCCCTGAGCTCGGCGGCGGCGCCGCCCTTGCGGGACGACTTTGAGGAGCCCGACGTCTGGCGCGCCTTTCCGGACACGCCCTTCTTGTCGGCGCCCTTCTTCTCCGCCTCTGCCATCTGCTCCATCAGCAGCCGCAGCCGCGCCTGGTACTCGCGCGACTGGCGCGGCGGGGCCGGGGGGCGGCGGTGAGAGCGGGTCGGGGGCGGCGGCGAGAGAGCGGCGGCGAGAGCGGGCGTTGCCCGAGGCGGGAGAAGGCGGCGGGTGCGGGCGCGGGAGTGGGGGAGGTGGCTGACGCCATGGCGGCGTCGGCCGTGGCAGACTTGGGAGGCGCGGGTGCGGTGGCGCGGGTGGTGCGACGGCGGCGGCGGAGGCAGAGGCGGGGAGGGAGGTAGCGCCGTCAGGAGGCAGCGGCAAGGCACGGCCGAGGGGGCCCGGGGCGGGGGGGGGGGGGGGGGGGCGGCGGCGGTGGCAGCCGAGGCAGCGCGAGAGAGGAGCGAGGGAGCGGCGGGCGAGGCCCCTCGCGGCCATGTGGCGACCCGGCGTGGCGAGGGTGGAGGGAGGGTCTCGGAAGGCGGTGGAGGAAGGCGTGTCTCGGAAGGCGCCTGCTTTGCGCTGGCGAGGAGGTTTGCGCGGGTCTGGTGGCGGTAGACGTACTGCATGGCGGAGACGAGGAGGACGCAGAGGGCGAGCGCGACGCGCGGGTCCGTCTTCGGCGCGTACTGCCCCGAGCCGAACCGCATGAAGTGCATCGGAAACTCCATCGGGTGCTCGAGGAGGTAGTCGTAGTTGGCGCGCATCTCGGTGTCGGCGAGGACCGAGTAGGCGTTGGCGAACTTTTGGAACTTCTCGCGCGCCATCGGGTCGGGGTTCTTGTCCGGGTGCCACTCCGCGGCCAGCCGGCGGTACGCGCGCTTGATGGCAAACGCCAGCGACGTCTGCTTGACGCCGAGCAGGTCGTAGCAGTTGTCCTCCTCGCAGTACGTGTACTTTGCCGCCTCGTCGCGACGCCGCGCGTTCTCCGACTTGAAGTCACCCTCCTCCTCCTCCTCCTGCGCCGCCGCCACCGCCAGAACGGCGACGGCAAGCAGCCGGAGCGACCTCATGTGTGCACTCCACGCGGTGCTCCACGCGGCGCCGCCCTGGCCAGCTCAGCGTTATCGACCAGTGTCTTTCTTTTTTTATTATTCGGCGAATGCCCTCCCCGCTCTTCACCGCTCGCGCCACATCTCCGCCGCCGCCGCCACTCCCTCGGCCAGGCACGCCGCCCACCCGCCTGCTCGACCTCCCCACGGAGCTCCTCGTGCTCGCCCTCTCTCGCCCCGCCGACATCGCTCGCGCCGCGGCAGTCTCGCTCTGCTCTTCCACGCCTCGCTCGCGCTGGAGGGCTTCTTGGCTCTTCGGCAGCTGACTCTGCTCGTCGCCGTGGCCCAGCCGGCCCCAGCCTCCCTGGCCCCAGCTCCAGACGCTGCCGTCGGCGATGCGGGCGATGCTGTGGCGGCTTCCAGCCGACACAGAGACGACGCGCTGCCCGGTAAAGGCCTCGATCTTCTTGGGCAGCAACTGGTGCTGCTGATCGCCGTGTCCCAGCTAGACACGGCCTCCATTGCCCCAGCTCCAGACACTGCCGTCGGTGGTGATGGCGAGTCTGTGAGCAATTCCAGCCGACACAGCGTACAATATATACACTGACACTGAACCTCCCCGAGCTCGTCCCGGTCCGTCACGGCCATCCTTGGCCTCCGGAGGGGGCCCCCGGCCGCGGCGCGGTGCGGCGGAGTCACAAATCCGACGGCAGAGCACCGGGACGCGGTTGGGCGATCTGAGGCCCAACTAGGCGTATGCATTGCCCATCCAGGGCTATCACCTGTACCTATCAACAGGCGCCTGCGGCGCCATGCTCAGGAGCTGCTGCTCCAACCTGTTCACACTTTCGTACGGCACAGTAGCAGTAACAAAAGAGGCAAATCTCCCAACTGACGCCTGCCTACGTCAAACGAGCCACGTCGAGGATCTCATTGGGCGGCTGGCTGCGCCGGTACGAGTCGTCCTCCTCGGCGAACAGGCCGCCGTCCTGCAGCCACGGCGTGCCCTCCTCGCCCTCGTCCTCGGCGTCCCCGGCGACGGCCTGCTCAGGCTCAGGCTCTTTGTGGTGCCACGGCAGGCCCGTCAGGCCAAGCCCCGCATTCGCAAAGATGGAGCGGATGTGATCTTTGCAGCGCCTCCGCCGCCGATTTTGGCTGCCGCATTCCGCCACTTCTCGCCCGTCCTTTCCACGGCGCGTTTGCCACCAGCGGGGTGGCGAGGTCCTTGAAGCGGCTGTTGCATCGTTTGAGGGCGACCGCGGAACCTCTTGGTCCCTTCTGATGCCATAGGCCACACCTGGGCCTTACCTGGAGCTCTAGGGGGCGGGCTGGGTTTGCCCCCCCCCAACTGGCCCCGAGGGACCTTAAAGAAGCTGGATCAGATGAGGCTAACCTCGAAATCTGCACCTTGGATGGCTGCGCTCCCTGTTTCACAGCCATCCGTGCTAAGGATGGCTGGCATGCCTAGATCTCAGCCATACACTCCTACCAGATGGCGGGGATACAGGCATGCCAGCCATCCTTAACACGCATGGCTGCAATTGCAGGATCTTAGCCACTCCGCCCTACCAGCACACGGCATTTTGGCTGCCATCCAGCCAGTGCAGCCATCCTCCGGCCGATGGCTGCGATGGCTGTGTCCCGGCCATCCGGTAGGAGTGCATGGCTGAGATCTAGGCGTGCCAGCCATGGTGGGAGGCTGCTCAGGTGTCGCATCCTGCCACCAGGTCTTGAGGAGGTCCCTCTTGATGAGGTAGCCAGCCCGCGCGCTGGGCTCCCCGAGCAGCGTCCCCGCCAGCGCCTCCCACCCATCAGGGTGGAGGAGGCGCTGCTCCAGCGCCGCGAACGGGATGTCTTCTGCCAGCTCAAAAGCGACGTCACCAATCTTCTCGTCGACAATGCCGACAGCTGTCAGACGCGTCCCGCCCCGCTCCGATCGCAGCAACTTCTCGATCTTCTCCGCGTCCGCGTCCGTCCCCACGGCCACCCCGCCGTCCCCGGACGGCGAAACCTCTGCCAGAACCATGCCGGAAGCGCTGCCTGTCGGGCCGCCCGCCTCTCCTGGCGACGGCGTGGCCCTGAGCGGCGCTGCTGCAGCCCTGAGCGCAGCCGGCACGTGCGGTATGGATATGGCAAGATCGTCCCGGATGCTCTAACGAGAGGCTGATACCGGTACGACAGAAGCAAAACAGGCCGTGTGGGGTGTGGGTGTCACGAGGACAGACGTCCACGAAGACGGTGGACGGACGCAAACTCCTTATCCGATTCACACTCACGGCTGTCCTACTGGTTATATAGAAAGTCGGCCGTCTGCGAGCCCCCGGCTCGCCGACGGCGAGAGAGATGCCACGAGGGGTCGCGGTGGCGTCCATCGCCAGGCTCCCTAGCTCAACCGACGACCCTTCGGGATCGACGGCCGATCGTCATGCCGTCGTCGTCCCGCTTCTCGATGCCGAGGAGGTTGAGGTCGCCCCAGATCCTCGTCGCCGACTCGTGAGCCTCGCCCCGGTTGATCGAAGCCACGATGTCAAACAAAACTTGCCTCGGGTCGGCCCCTCCGTAGAAGAGGAACTCGAGCTCCTCATAGCTGACGCCGTCGACGGACATAGCGCGCGCTTTGGGCACGGAATGAAACACCTCCCAGAAGGCGTCTTTGTATTCCTTGCTCGAGGTCGAGTAGCGTCTGACTGCGCCGCTCGCGTCCCGAACCGGCAGCATGTCGTCGTCCAACGCCTCCGTCGACTGCGGGTGGAGCTCGCGGAGGGTGTCGCGAGCAAACGCCTGGTCGCTCGTCAAGCCGCCGCCAGGCTGCGTCTCGTCAAAAGTGCCCGTCTTGGCCACCGGGTTCGTAGTGAATCGCGCACAAGCCTTGGACAGGTAGCCCGCGCCCGCCAGGCCCAGGACGGTGGCGAGAAGGCGGTCACCGTCGTCCTGCTCGGGCGCGCCCTCCTCGCCCTCGTCTTCGCCCGCCTCCGCCCCAGCCCCGCCCTCCTCTCGCCCCTCCGCCTCCTCCGTCGCCGCCGCCGCTCGCGCCCCGCGCCCCATAGCAGCCGCCGCGTCCGCCGCCGCCACCCCCCCTGCGCGGCTCTGGCGCTCGAGCTCGGCAGCTCGCGCAGCCGCCTCGCGCGCCCGCCTCGCAGCCGTGGCTTCCGTCGCCTCCAAGACCATCGCACGGACCAGCTCCTCGAGCCCCCCCGTCATGACGGCGCGGACCCGCCCGAGGATCTCCGACTTCGGCCGCGCGCGGCCCCCCTCTCGCACGTGATTGACAGTCACCATCTTGGCCAGAGCGAGGAAGGCGATGTACAAGCCGGCGTCCGGGGTAGAGATGTTGTCTCGGAGCAGCCGCATGCCATGGAAAAGCATGCCGTAGTACTCGCGCCGCGCCCCGGCGGGCGGGCGGCGGCGCCGGACCGTGTCGATGGCGGCGAGCAGCCTCGGGTTGTCCGCCCACGGTCGAAGCCACTCGTAGGAGTACTGGACCCCGGGGCTGGAGATGACATGCTGGGACCCGCGGTCGCGGAAAGCGGCCTTGCGCGCAGCGTCGGAGGCCGCCCTGGCCCGGCGCCGAGCCTCGGGGTCACCCCCGGCGCCCTCCTCCTCCCTGGACCGCGCCTTCGCCGTGTCCGCGACCCACCGGGCGTGCTTGGCGCGCCTGTCCGCCTGCGGCTGTTTGCGCGCGTAGCACACGGTCCGAAAGTAGTGCGCCGCTGAGCCCGGTCGAGCCTGCTGCTGCAGAAGCCGCATGAAGCCTTCGCGACCATCCTTCCAACGCGGGTCGCCCGCGTCGCCTCGGTAGGACCGGTCGCATTTGAAGAGATGCTGGAGGGAGCGCAGCCATCCAAGGTGCAGATTTCGAGGTTAGCCATCAGATGAGGGCCAGGTCCGAGAGGCGTGGAGAGGCGCTGGCCGACGAAGACGCGAGCGGTGGTGGCAGCTCCAGCGCTGCCGTCCGTATTGCCGCCTCCCACGCCCAGGACCGCCACCTCCCGTCTCCCGGCATCCGCGCATTCGCGCGTGAGGAGGTGGGCGAGGAGGCCTTCACGTGTGCGGTTCTCTCGGCCGCAATCTATGCGGATGCGCCTCTCGCACCGGCGCGCAGACCTGGCGAGGAGAGCCCTTCGGCCTCGACGCTGCTGGATCGGCTCCGGCAGCACGAGTGCGGCCTCGACGACGCAATCGTGCTCGATCTCTCCCCCGACGGGCGCCTCGCCTTTGTGGCCCGGCTGTCCGGCGACCGCCCAGCGACTTGGACGGTAGCGCGCGGGACGGAGAGCGGCGAGGACGTGGCGGTGGACCTAACGTACCTGCTGCTGGGGCGGCCGCAGGCCAACCCCCACTTCAAGGCGCTGCTGCGCTTCCACGACGAGAACTGCCGGCGCACAGAGCGCCTCTCGGAATTGGCTGGGTTTCGGCGCTACGCAACGGGCCACTCCAAGGCGCCTCCGACACACCCCCGAGACCCTTTCGAGGCACCTCCGATGCACCTCCGATGCACCTTCCGAGACACCTCCCAGACACCTCCGAGACACCTCCGAGACACCTCCGAGACACCTCCGAGACACCTCCGAGACACCTCCTAGACACCTCCTAGACACCTCCTAGACACCTCCGAGATGCCTGCCTCTCAGCCGCCCCCGGCTGGCACGCCGAAGCTTCTCAGAACTCTTCCCACAGGGCGGCGCGGAGGCGGTGGAGCTCGGGCTCGCGCGCCGCGTGGAGGTGCACGCCTTCAAAGCGTCGGCGCGCACAACTTTGGTTGGCCGATTCATTGATTGATTGACTGGCTGCCTGGAGGTGCACGCCTTCAACGACGGCGGCGTGCACAACTTTGGGGGCTTCCTGCGCAAGGCGCTCGAGCCGGTCGTCGGAAGCGGCTCGCTCTCGCGCCACCGCGTCCTTGGCTGCCCTTCGCACCGTGCCTGTCAGGGCTCGCCTCTTGCCTTCAGGCTCGCTCTCGTGCCACCGCGTCTTTGGCGACGCCATCTCCAACTTGAGGCTCAGCTCGACCCTCCCGGCGCATTGCCTGAGGCCCCACCCTCCAACACCCACAGCTCCCGTCTGCCCCGCACCAGGCTGCCCGTCGGGCGGACGCGGTACTACCTGCAGCGCGCCGACGGCCCGGGCGCGCACGCTGTGCGCAACTTTCTGCCGGCCGGCGAGGACCCGCCATCGTCCGCCGGTGCGGAGGAGCGGCCACCGGCGCACTACCTCTTCTTCTTCGACCGAGCGGGTCGCGGCAAGCTTCGCGTCTCGTCCCACGGCACCGTGGCCATCGGCACACTGCTCGGCACGGGGTCTCTACGCAGCGCCGCGTGGGCCTTTGCCCGCTCGATCCTCCTCAGCAGCGCCGGGAGGCGCACCGCCGCCGCCGCAGCCGGGCTCGCGGTGCGCCCCATCGATCAGGTTTGAAGCGATTCACAATAGGCTCACCGCCGCCGCAGGAGCCGCGCTCGGCGGCGTCCTGGCCACAAGCGGGTGGTTCACCATTGACTGAGCACGACCACCGAATAGGCGCCGCGCTCGGCGGCGTTCTCGCCGCCGGCCTGGAGCCGTCCCTCTGCGCAAGGGGCGGGCGGCTCCGGCTCGCGGCTAGCTGCGCTGAGGCGGGCCTCGCAGAGTGGGTCGGCCGCGCCCCGCTCGCCGCGCCGCTCCGCTCGGCGGCGCTGGTGCTGCTGGCGGCGGGCGGGGACGCCTTCGCCCGCCTCCCCGCCCCGGCGGCCGCCACTGCCCCCAGCGAGGATGGGGACGAGCCTGGCGGGCGCGCGCCTAGCCACCAGCAGGCACGCGCACCACCCGCGCTGCCACGGCTGGCAGAGTGCGCCGCCGCGTCGGTCGCCACGCACGTGGGCGCGTGGGTCGGCGCCGCCGCAGGAGCGTCGCTGGCCTCGTCGGTGCTCGCGTCCCTCTGGCTCTCGAACGTGTTTGCCGTCGCCGGCGCGCACGTCGGCGCGCGCGCTGCGACGCGGAGGCGCTCTCGCGCGCGGCGCATCGCGGCGGGCTACGCCGGCCTGGTTGCGGGCGCGCTGGTGTCGCAGAAACTGTTGGGCCGGTTTGGGTGATGCAAATACGGGTGGTGTGGACCTGATGAATTTTGATTTTTTGTCCGTGTTGCTCCCAGCGCCCTCGCCCGCGCTCCCTGTACCCTGAGGCCATGGCTGGTGCTACTAGTATGCAATGGGGGGCTACCTGGCTACCGCGAGAGCGACCCAGCTCGTCGACATCGTCCGATGATGGTGCCTGCTGCCTCAAAGTCAGGCTAGTGCCATTTCACTGTGGCACAGCTCGCGTTACAACCTCGCGGGGTCGCAGCTGCCTCTGCGCGTCCTGGGGAGGTACATTTGTTGCGCACCGGAGACGACTCGACGCCGCTGAGATCGGAGATCAAGCTCTGACAGGTCGCACGTCGCTCCTTTGACGCCGACGTGACTCACCCGTGCAGGTCACATCAGGACACGGTGTACAAGCTTCGAAGAATCAATACCTTGTACAAGCTTCGAAGAATCAATACCAAACACAACTCTAACACTCACACATCATTTGGGGCCTGGGCAGGCGGCGCGCAACCCCACCGGGTCCAACATTCAGGTCGCCTACTCGCTGCCTCCCGAGGGGGGCGCAGCGGGTTCGGCAACCTGGTGTACGCCACGGTCCCTCTGGGCTCCGTGGCGACCAAGGTCGCCCGGGACTGGCTCGCCAACGAGCTCTACGAGGCGTCCCGGTGCGGCAGAATTGACGCGGCCTGAAGAGACCGAAAGGTCGCCGACCTGATCTCGGCTGCCGGCGCCTCGGCGCCGGCCGACGCTGTGTTCGGCGGCAGGTTCGCGACGGGCGAGGCGCCCCGCCCGACGACCTCCGCCTCCGAGGCGGACAAGGGCGACGCACGGCGTCGGCGGCGATGGCGGGACCGGCAACTTCGACCTGTTCGAGGTTGGGAGAGAGCCGGACCGCACCCCCTCTGAGGCCCTCCCCAGTCTCACCACACCTTACCTCTGCCCCCCCCCCCCTCCCCCCTCCCCCCATCCCTCTGCCTCCCATTGCATAGGGCAGGATAGCACTAGCATATGCGCCTAGTGCGCACTGGGCCCACACAGATGTGACCCGCCCACTCGAATGCGGCGCCCGGATGCTAGTGCTTGAGAAGACACCACAAACGCGGCACGGCCCGTTTTGGCTGTCTGCGGAGATTCTGTTTTAGCACACACAGTGAGTCATTCGGAGTCATTCGATGGCCAGAGTGCGATTGTGTGTGTGCGGGAGCTGGTTTGTCGGGAGGGAGGGGCAGGCTGCTCACCCACGTGCACCGGGCCAGTGCTTGCACTTTGAATGCCGTGGGGCTCCTGCCCGTGTCCGGGCGTGGAGATGCGAGGGTCGCCCCCCCTTGCCCCACCACTGTGTGTGTGCGGAGAAATTTACCTTACCTTACCTTAGCCCCGGCAAACGAGATAGACCGTACGAGTGGCCTGAGCATTGCCATTGGCCTGAAAGGTGAGCTGTAGGTAGAGGAGTACACGGTATTCTCCTTCAGCACGCCGCGCTGGGCGAGGGGCGTCGACCCTTTTCCGCAGCACACGATGCTGTTCATGTACGTCGACGGGAGCGCGAGCGAGAGCGAGCTGGCCGAGACCTTCCCCGCATCGTACGGCCGCTGGGGCGTCGAGTCGGGGGAGTATCGCGACAGCATCGACCTGCACGAGGAGCACGCGATGGCGGCCGCGCAGGGCGACGTGGGGGCGGGCGAGATGATTGGCTATCGGATCAGCCCCGCGAGCGAACCGATGCAGTGGCTGGCGGACGGCCTCGCGAAGCTGCTGCGCGTCGGCTTTGTAAAGACGCTGGCCGAGGCGCCCGCGGCGTGGAGGCAACGCAAGTGGGAGCCGTAAAACAGTACACCCGCTCTCTCTCGACATGACGCCAGTTCAAGTGGGATTCGTCGGCGGCCGAAACGGACATTCACTCGGCGACCAGGCTGGCCTCAGGCCACGCCGCATCGCCCTCGTACTCTGGACGGAGGAGGGCTCTATCAATCGCTTGCGTCAGGCTCGACTTGACGCGTGCGCTCAAGCTGGTGGACCTGTACGAGACGTGCGCGGTGACTCGATGCTGAAGGACGATGCTCCAGGACGGGTGGCGCTGCAGCTCGGTCGCAGAGAGCATCGGCAACAGCGTCTGCGTGCGCGCCTTTGAGGAGCACCGAAGTGCGGAGGGAGGCGGCGAAGGACGCCGGCCGCGCGCGTGGAGGACCGAGGAGGCGGCGCGCCGCGGCGCTGCCGGCGGAGCTCGAGGCGGGTGGGGCCATACCCGTGCTCGTTGAAGGAACGCAGCGGCGTACAACGCTGCAGACGGCTGACACACACTCAACCTTTCCGGGCACGCGTGAGTCTGACTTTGAGACCACGGCCCGGGGCGCGGGGGGCGGGCGGCGGCGGCATGCCGGTAATTCTGAGAATCTCTAAGACTAGGTCGGTAAGCGCAAAGTGGTGTCCTTTTCAGAGAGATTCGTGATAAAAAGAGTTCGCTACTACTACCACTTGAGTAAACTCGGTCGCTCGGAGGGGTGTACTGCTGGACCTGCAAGACGGAGCAAGAGAGCCACACATGCGCTGCAAAATCTCACACATGAACCGGAAGACCCCCTTCTTGTACAACCTCGCGCAATAATAACACCGCCACTAGCTAAGCTCGCCTACCCAATGATAGAGAAAATAGAGCGTCCCTCGTCAGCGTGCAGAGCTCCGGTCGACACAAGAGACATGGCGAATCCGCCACGCCGGGCTCGTTCGGCTGCACGCTCGCCCGCCCGCGCGAATCGCTCACGAGGCCAGCAAGCTCGGCCGCCCCACGTCGAAGATGTCGTGGTGCTCGATGGAGAAACCGCTGTGGCCGCGCACGAGCTCGACCAGCCCGAGGCCGGGCGAGATTGCGATCTCGGGGATCTGCTCGATCGGCGTGCCCGTGAAGTAGCCGAGCAGGACCTGCTCACACCGAACGCCGTGAAGGGGGCGCCCGCCACGCCCCCGCCGCGCGTTCAGCGGCCGAGCAGCGCGCCCGCGCGACCGCCACGTCGCAGACCACCGCGACGTCGGTCCGCATGCGCTCGAGCGCGAGCACCACCTCGCGGCAGTTGGTCACGAGGTCCATGTACGATTCGCCTATCTCCCGCGCAGTCGGGTGAGCTCGCCGCGATCTCGCCCAACCTCGCCGCGAGGGTCGAGGTGCGACGCGCCCCCCACGCCGGGGTAGCGATAGTGCAGCGGGTCCTTCGCCCGCGCCGCGTACCTGCGGACGTGTCGGGTGGGCGTGTCAGGTGTGGGCGTGTCAGGTTGTTTGGACGTGTCGGGGGTGGATGGCAAGTCGGTGTCGGTGTCGGTGTCGGAGGCGGTGGCGGTGGCGGCGGGACTGTCGCACTCTTCGGGGAAAGAGTGGCGCAGCTTGCCGCCCGGAAGGGACTCGAGCGAGCCGAAGCACAGCTCGTTGAGAGCCTTCAGAGGGAGCGGGATGCTCGCGCTCCAGTCGCCTGTTCACAGCAGCAGGGTGTGAAGAGACGCTGTTCACACCTCCTCGGGATGCTCGCGCTCCAGTCGCCGCGCTCGCCGCGCTCACCGCCGCCGCCGCCGCCGCCGCTCCCGCCGCCGTCGCTCTCGCCGCCTCCGCCGCCGCCACCCCCGCCGCCGCCCTCCCCGCCCTCGCCGCCGCCGCCGCCTTCTGCTGCGCGACGAGGCCACTCCTCGTTGACGTCGCCACCGCCGCCGCCGCCGCAGCGGCCGTAGTGCGGGCTGGCGTGGCCTAGGATTCGGGTACGGGGTTGCAGGGGCAGGGGAAGGGTTGGGGCTGGGTTGGCGGCGCGTGGCCTCCCCCTCCTCCGCCGCCGCCGCCGCAGCGCAGCAGCTCCGCCACCTCGAGGTACCTCCGCAGCGTGCCCGTCAGCACCTGAGCCGTGCCCTAGGGTTAGGGTTAGGGTTAGGGTTAGGGTTAGGGGTTAGCCCGTCAGCACCTGAGCCGTGCCCGACGCGACGCACGGGCGCGAGCGGACCAAGTCGCACGCCGCAGCCGAGAAGAGGCGGCCGCGCGCCTGCCGGGAAGGCTCCGGGTAAACTCCGGGAAGGCTCCGCACGCCCGAAGGAGGGTGCAGTCCGAAGCAGGGGGTGTGGGGCAGGAGATGTCAGAGGAGGGAGTGACTACTTACTCGCGGCCACGCGCCGAGAGGGCGGTGTCGCCGCCGCGGATGCCGGCGGCGTCATTCTCGCTCTCGCCTAAAGGGGATACGCCTCCCCACGCCTCAGCACGTCTCCCCACATCTCCCCACATCTCCCCACATCTCCCCACATCTCACCCGCGAGGATGATCGAGATCTTGCGCGGGAAGACGTGGACGGCGTGCAGCAGCGAGACCTACAGGAAGGTTCAGAGAAGGTTCCGAGAGGTTCGCGGGAAGACGGTGGACGGCGTGCAGCAGCGAGACCAGGTGCGACATGAGGAAGGTGTTGCACCCCGAAGCGACCAGCCTGCGCACAACACCGCAGCCGGCGGCTGTGAGCCGGTGCGACACCGAGCGACAGGATCGCCGTCCTCCGCCCGGCGACGGCGGAATCTTGGCTGATTCGCGGCTCCATCGCGGCTCCATCGCGGCTCCATCGCGGCTCCATCGCGGCTCCATCGCGGCTCCATCGCGGCTGCATCTCGGCTACATCGCGGCTCCATCGCGGCTCCATCGCGGCTCCATCGCGGCTCCATCGCGGCTGCATCTCGGCGACATCTCGGCTACATCGCGGCCTCCATCGCGGCTCCATCTCGGCGACATCTCGGCTACATCGCGGCCTCCGCCCCGCGTCGACTGTCTGCACGAAGCGCAGCCGCCCTCCGTTGGTGTCAAACTCGCCCTCGTAGCCCTTCGCCTCGTCCTCGCCGATGGTCTCGTACACCTTCTCATACTCGCGCACGCGCGCGAGGAAGTCGACCAGCGCCCGCTCCGGGTCTTGCTGCGCGTAGTCGCCGTTGCTCAGCTTGAGACGGTACGAGTGGCGCAGAATCTCCTCGTCGTTGCAGATGGACTCGACAAAGACGAGGCGGAGCGGCATCGCGCTGAGCCGCTCCGCCCGCGCGCACCGCTCGATGACGGCGCGCCGCCGCGCGACGGTCGTGTTTGTCGCGTCGAAGATGCCGCACGCGCAGCCCGACCAGGTCTCGTCACACGCGTGTGGCGCCTCGAGCCAAGCTAGCAGGTCATCCAGCGTCTCCATCGCGAGCTGGTCGCGCTGCTGCTTCGCGTCCGAGTTGGAAGGGTCGAAGAAGGACGAGGCGGCGCCGGCGAGACCCTGGTCGCGCCGCCGGCTCCCCGCGTTGAAGAGCTTGACCGGGCAGCCCAGGAAGGTGAAGTAGTGCTCGATCGCCCTCGACGTGTACGACTTGCCCCTCGCGGGAAGTCCGACCATGGCAATAACCACCCGCTCTCCGATCACTGACATGGGGTTGACGGCGTACCGCGACCGCGACGACGGGATCCTCACCAATTGCGTGGGAGAGCTCGGCACGGAGCCGCCACCGCCACCGCCCGAGCCGCCACCGCCACCGCCCGAGCCGGACGAGACGAGCGGCGGCGCGCTGAGCAGGCGCTCCACCTCTCGCATGCGTGACCGCTGAGGGTACTAGATGAAGCCGCGGATGTTGATGTCGGCCTAGTGCTCGGTGGTGGCCCCGGTGGTGCAAGCTTTGTCAGACGAGAAAAAAGAAGTGCGAATTAGCTGGCCAGCCGAGGGGCGCCAGAACGGCATGTGTTCTGCTGCTGGCTGCGGGCGCGGAAATGGCTTTTTTTAACTCGCAACCAAGTATACTATACAAGGACACCCTGGGGGGGACACTCGGCGCATATGCGACACGTCAGGGTGGAGTTGGCGGTGGCCGAGCGTCGTCTCCCGATCGACTCGCAGCGCGGAGTCGAGGGGTGAAGCACGTCGCGCTGTGACACTCGAGAGCCCGCCCCCTCTCGCGCGCATCCCACCGTCCAACCCCTGCGCCTCCTTTTCGTGTGTGCGAGTCCGGGGGGGGTCTGAGAGGTCCGGCCTCTTCGCGTACGGCGATTCTAAGCCCTCAATACAAGCATGAGCTATGGCAGCGTGCACCTCGATCCTGTACCGACCGTGTTTGTTATGACCCCCCCCAATGAACACACCAGTGAGGGAGGGCGAGACGATCGAGGGGTCCCGTACCATGCGGAATCGACCCTATCCAGTGCTCAAGTGCTCAAGCTCCTCTCCCCCTCTGGGAGCTAGCCCGACAAACGGCAAAAATGTGGGAGACTCCGACGGCGAACTGCGTGCATCGGCGCGTCGCCCGTCCCCCTGCAATGCCTCAGTGATTGCGCCCACCAGTCGGGAGAGGCGAACTTGTAGCCGCCACGCCTCGGCTCGCCGTTGGAGCGAGCGAGGGCGGAGGCGGCTGGCTCTGCAGCCGAGGCTGCTCATGCCCAGAGGGGCCAGCCACCGCCAACGGCGGGGCGGCCTCGCGGTGAGCGAGGGCCTTGGTGTCGGTCTGAGACAAAGGCCGAGCCTCCCCAGCCGGGAGAGGCGAACTTGTAGCCGCCACGCCTCGGCTCGCCGTTGGAGCGAGCGAGGGCGGAGGCGGCTGGCTCTGCAGCCGAGGCTGCTCATGCCCAGAGGGGCCAGCCACCGCCAACGGCGGGGCGGCCTCGCGGTGAGCGAGGGCCTTGGTGTCGGTCTGAGACAAAGGCCGAGCCTCCCCAGCCGGGAGAGGCGAACTTGTAGCCGCCACGCCTCGGCTCGCCGTTGGAGCGAGCGAGGGCGGAGGCGGCTGGCTCTGCAGCCGAGGCTGCTCATGCCCAGAGGGGCCAGCCACCGCCAACGGCGGGGCGGCCTCGCGGTGAGCGAGGGCCTTGGTGTCGGTCTGAGACAAAGGCCGAGCCTCCCCAGCCGGGAGAGGCGAACTTGTAGCCGCCACGCCTCGGCTCGCCGTCGGAGCGAGCGAGGGCGGAGGCGGCTGGCTCTGCAGCCGAGGCTGCTCATGCCCAGAGGGGCCAGCCACCGCCAACGGCGGGGCGGCCTCGCGGTGAGCGAGGGCCTTGGTGTCGGTCTGAGACAAAGGCCGAGCCTCCCCAGCCGGGAGAGGCGAACTTGTAGCCGCCACGCCTCGGCTCGCCGTCGGAGCGAGCGAGGGCGGAGGCGGCTGGCTCTGCAGCCGAGGCTGCTCATGCCCAGAGGGGCCAGCCACCGCCAACGGCGGGGCGGCCTCGCGGTGAGCGAGAGCCTCAGTGGTAGACGCTTTGCATAAGTGGTGGGAAGCGCTGCTGCTATCCAACGCAGCGCTGCCCAATGAGGCGGAACCTCGTCCCAGAAGTGTGTCGCGGGGGAGGTTATGGACCCTCTGCCAAGGCGCCGGGCGGTGTTCGCCGGCGCCTCCGTTGAGCAGTGAGCCTGAGGGTGGGCGCGGGTCGGCCGGATAGCCGGCGGCCCCCACGAGATGAGCCGCCGTGCCGGGGTCCGCGCCCCTCCTGGAGGGTGAAGGCGTGCCCGCGATAGTGTGCGTTGCCTGCGTGCCCCAGGGTGCATTGGGCTCCACCCCGTTATGCCTGCCGAGGGGCGGTGGCCCATCGGCCGGCGGGGTGGAGCTCCGATCTTGTTGCTTGTCCATCGATGCTGCGTCGGCCTTGCGGCCGGGCTATGCGCTCGAAGGGGAGGGTGGACGTAGACGCGGTGGCGTCCAAGCCCGGTGTTGCCAAGGAAGTGCTGCCGCTCACGCGACGGATCTTACGCTTACGTTTGCTCAAGAGGGGGAAGCTGGGTGAATACGACTCTCTGTCGCACTCACGGACTGAAGTCAGGAGCCTGCCGGCGGCCCGAGACTGAACGACAGGGCCTCCCTATGAGGCCCTCACACGACTCTGTGTGGCGATCAGAGAGTTCGTTACACACAGTGGGACCGCCCGTCCTCCTCAATTCGATTATCGGGACCCCCGGGGGTCGTTACATGCGCCTCGTCACTCCGTTGCGAGCTCCATTCGCGGCTCCAATCGCCCCGAGTCACCGCGGGGGACTTGTCCAACACTTTCCCCCGCGACACTGCCGGCGGGGTTGGTTGGGGAGAACCGGCACGGGGAGGGCCGGCCTCCCCGGAGGGGTCGCCCCCTGGAGGGGCCCCAAAGGGCCCCCCGGGGGGGCGGGGGCCCCCGCCCCGAGGCTAGGGCGGAAAGTTCCGCCTGGAAAATAGACATCATCGCCCTCTTGGGTGGCACCCTGCACGGCCGAAGCTGTGCCTGCTGGCTACGCTAACTCTCAAACCCGCAGCCGCCCAGGGGCCTTGGGGGCAGCCTGCCGGACGCGCGCGCCGATGCTGCCCGCGCGCCAGGAGGAGGAGCTCGACGCTCTTCTGGCGCAGGCTCTCAGCGAGGGCGCGCTGACGGAGTCGGCCGTCGACGAGATCACCGACAGCATCGCCCGCGGCTCCCGCGGCGTCGGTGGTCTCATTCAGGAGCTTCGGCCGCGGCTACGTACTCCTCCACCAAAGGCACCCAACCGCAAGGCGCGGCGCGCCCACCTCCAGCAGCACGGCGAGGTCGGCGGCGGCGGCGGCGAGGTCGGCGGGCTGATGGCGGAGATGGAGGCGCTCCTGGCGCTGGCGCAGGACACGTCCGGTGGACACGACTCGGCGGCGGTGGGAGAGGGCGATGAGGCTGGCGCGTTTGACATGAGCGACGTGCTGCGCGACGTGCCATCGGCCGACGGCGAAGGCGACGGCCTTGTGGAGGGCGGCGTGGAGGGCATCGGAGCGGGCGGCGTGGAGGGCTGCGGCGAGGAGGGCGGCGGCGGCGACGAGTGCTTTGGCGGCGAGGGCGAGGGCGAGGGCGAGTGCGTCGGCCTTCGGATCGGCCTCGTCCTCGACCTGCACTACCTGCAGCTCGCCGGCTCCGCCTTTTCGCTGCAGACCGACTGGGATCCGCGCGAGCTCGAGGCGAGCATCTACCCACGCGCCGTCTCGGGCCGAACCTCGCCTGGTCCAGGCTGATCTCGGCTGATCTCGGCCGAACCCCGGCTGAACCTCGGCTGGTCTACGCTGATCTCGGCTGACCTCGGCTGACCTCGGCTGATGCCGGCTGGTCCGGGCTCCGCCGCCCTCTCCTGACAGGCGGCCCTCGAGGCTCGCACGGGCGGCTCCGTCGCCTGCCGCATCGCCTGCGACTCGGAGCCCGACGCGGACGGCAAGCACGGGCCCGGCAAGGCGAGGCTGCACGGCAGGCTGGCCGCGGCTGGGCGCCGGCTCGCCCTCTCGCCCTCCCGGGCGGCGCACACGGGAGACGGGAGGCCGCCGTGGACAGGTACCGGCTCGCCCTCTCCCCCTCCAAGGCGGTGTCGCGCACGCAGGGCGCCACGGACGTCGACGTCGCCTGCGCCATGTTCGAGGCCGCGGGCCCCTTCTGCCGGTAAAACTTGACCTCATCTCTCACCGAATCGAATCGGATCTGCTTAGGTGGCGGGCGCCTTCTCCCCCTCCCCGTGCGCAGACGTGCTCGCCCTCGTCGCCGGCGCCCCCCCCCCCCCCCAAAAAAAA